CCCTTGACACTGTCTTTACTTTAGCCAGGATGTGACCTTTCACCCAGAGAACATGTCTTTTGATCTGCTTTCACGTTTTGAGCTCTGGGCGAGGGACCCCAATATGCTGCTTTTGTTAAACAGGGGCTGAATCGGGTAAAGGCCCTTTTACTCTCGCCGGCCTAGATTCAAAGTCCTCTGAGAAAACCTTCATCTATCAATAATATTTATTCCCCTTTTAGCTCTCTCATACACAGATACAATGTGAGATGCAGACTCAAGTAAATCTTCTCTTGTAAACCAGCGATCTTCACTTGGGTCTTGATAGGCGAATCTTACTTTATATTGTCGCTGGGGTCTGCCTCTTCGTCTGATTTGGAAAGTGCTTTCAACAACAATCTTATCCACATCGTATTTCCCATTCATACTAGGAGGTATCGCTGATCTGCGACTGGGAAACAACTCATTTGTCACGCAAGGTAGAAGCTTTGAGGCGTGAAACACCGGATACGTATGCAAATGTAGAGGAATCTCAACTACATAAGAAGGTCCATCCACCTCTCCAATCACATCAAGAATTCCTTTATAGGCGGGTAGTAACTTCTGAGAAATGTTCTCCTCAGGAGCAAACTCTTTGGACTTAACCCATACCAAATCACCTACAGCGAATTGAGATGGTCTTCTATGCTTATTTGCCTGTTCCACCATTTGGTGTTGTGCCTTCACTATATTTTCTTTTACCCTTTCAATATCCCGCTGATACTGTATTGCAAACTCACTTGTCCCTAGAGGAAGCTTACGTACTTGATCCGGATTTAAGCGATCAATGGGTCTACGTGGTCGCCATCCCAAATGTAGTTCCATCGGAGTCCTGCATGTAGATAGGTGAACAGAGTTGTTATAGGCACTAGCAACTTTGGGCAAATGTTCATCCCAATCAATTTGGTCGGGACGGATGTACATGCGTAATGTCCGCTGCAAAATCTTATTCATTTGCTCAGTCTGGCCGTTTGTCTCAGGGTGTCTACCTGATGACATAGTCAACTTGGAGCCATAGACATTCATGAGTTGTTGCCATTGCTCGCTTGTAAACCGTGAATCTCGGTCACTCACAATCGTTAAGGGATGTCCATAATCTTTTACCCAATGGTTAAAGAACTCCCGGATTACTAATTCGGTCCTGGCTTCCGTGGGTAATGCTACGAATGTAGCATACTTACTAAATTTGTCAACGATGACCATGACTTGCGTCTTTCCATTCTTGCTCTTCACCTTGGTATCCATAAAATCAATGGATACGGAGTCTCGTGGACCTGTTGGCATTGGCAAGGGCTTTAGTAGTCCAAGGGGAGGTTGGGTTGTGCTCTTGTTTCTTTGGCACACTTGACAACCTTGCACATAGGCAATGCAGTCAGCTTTCATGCGAGGCCATGTGTAGGAACGCAAGAGGCCTGCATAAGTCTTCTTCCAACCGAATGGCCTTCGGTATCATGGCATTCTCCCAAGATCAAGCTTTTGATCTCTTCCACATTTGGAATGCAAAGCCGGCCATGCACGTCTGTTTGCTCAAACAACAGTCCATGTGTAACTCGGTAGTTAGGAAACTCTTGTGGCGCTTCTTGCACACGTTTAATCATGGCGCCATAGACAAGATCTGTGGAGTACGCATTTCTAATTTTATCTTGCAAGTCGGTGCCCATATCTCAGTATGTCACGACGGCACCGAAAAAGCCAGATCTTCGACTTAGCGCATCATCAACAACGTTGTACTTACCCTTAAACCTTTAACTCAAAATCATATTGATCAATTTCTGCGACTCACCTGGTCAATTTAGGTGTCATCCGGGCCTGCGTTTTAAGCCAGCGAAGTGTCTCGTGATCTGAGTACACTTTAAAGTGGCGTCCTAAGAGATAGTGTCGCCAATGATTTAGAGCCTCCCGAAGAGCATACAACTCTCTTTCGAACGTGGAAGCGGCGACCTTCTCATTAGGTAGTCGTCGGACATAAATTCTACAGGTCTATATCCATTCCCATCATCTTGCTGGAGTACAGCACCTATCCCGTACTGACTGGCGTCGGTTCTGACGACAAAGGGCAAAGAAGGATCAGCAACCTTCAAAACCGGGTAGTTAATCAGACATTTCTTTAGGCGTTTGAACGAAGCCTTACAGTCCGAATCCCACTTCTAGATGGTTTCTTTCTTAAGCAATCTGCGAAGGGGCGCAACGATTATCGTGAAGTGTTTAACGAACTTCCAAAAAT